GACTAAGTTATTAGTGTGTGTGTGTGTGTGCTGACTAAGTTACTAGTGTGTGTGTGCTGACTAAGTTACTCGTGTATGTGTGTGTGCTGACTAAGTTACTAGTGTGTGTGTGCTGACTAAGTTGCTAGTGTGTATGTGCTGACTAAGTTACTAGTGTGTGTGTGCTGACTAATTTACTCGTGTGTGTGTGTGTGCTGACTAAGTTACTAGTGTGTGTGTTCTGATTAAGTTACTAGTGTGTGTGTGCTGACTAAGTTACTAGTGTGTGTGTGCTGACTAAGTTACTAGTTTGTGTGTGCTGACTAAGTTACTAGTGTGTGTGTTTTGACTAAGTTACTAGTGTGTGAGTTCTGACTAAGTTACTAGTGTGTGTGTGCTGACTAAGTTACTAGTGTGTGAGTTTTGACTAAGTTACTAGTGTGTGTGTGCTGACTAAGCAACTAGTGTGTGTGTGCTGACTAAGTTACTAGTGTGTGTGTGCTGACTAAGTTACTAGTGTGTGTGTGTGTGTGCTGACTAAGTTACTAGTGTGTGTGCACTGACTAAGTTACTAGTGTGTGTGTGTGCTGACTAAGTTTCTCGTGTGTGTGTGCTGACTAAGTTACTAGTTTGTGAGTGCTGACTAAGCTACTAGTGTGTGTGTTCTGACTAAGTTACTAGTGTGTGTGTTCTGACTAAGTTACTAGTGTGTGTGTGTGCTGACTAAGTTACTAGTGTGTGTGTGCTGACTAAGTTACTAGTGTGTGTGCTGACTAAGTTACTAGTGTGTGTGTGTGTGTGTGTGTGCTGACTAAGTTACTATGTGTGTGTGTGCTGACTAAGTTACTCGTGTGTGTGTGCTGACTAAGTTACTAGTGCGTGTGTGCTGACTAAGTTACTAGTGCGTGTGTGCTGACTAAGTCACTAGTGTGTGTGTTTTGACTAAGTTACCAGTGTGTGTGTTCCGACTAAGTTACTAGTGTGTGTGTGCTAAGTTACTAGTGTGTGTGTGCTGACTAAGTTACTCGTGTGTGTGCTGGCTAAGTTACTAGTGTGTGTGTGCTGACTAAGTTACTAGTGTGTGTGTTCTGACTAAGTTACCAGTGTGTGTGTGCTGACTAAGTTACTAGTGTGTGTGTGCTGACTAAGTTACTAGTGTGTGTGTGCTGACTAAGTTACTAGTGTGTGTGTGGTGACTAAGTTACTAGTGTGTGTGTGTGTGTGCTGACTAAGTTACTAGTGTGTGTGTGTGTGCTGACTAAGTTACTAGTGTGTGTGTGCTGACTAAGTTACTAGTGTGTGTGTGTGCTTACTAAGTTACTCGTGTGTGTGTGCTGACTAAGTTACTAGTGTGTGTGTGCTGACTAAGTTACTAGTGTGTGTGTGGTGACTAAGTTACTAGTGTGTGTGTGTGTGTGCTGACTAAGTTACTAGTGTGTGTGTGTGCTGACTAAGTTACTAGTGTGTGTGTGTGTGTGCTGACTAAGTTACTAGTGTGTATGTGTGCTGACTAAGTTGCTAGTGTGTGTGTGCTGACTAAGTTACTAGTGTTTGTGTGTGTGCTGACTAAGTTACTAGTGTGTGTGTGTGTGCTGACTAAGTTACTAGTGTGTGTGTGTGTGCGTGTGTGGGTGCTGACTAAGTTACTAGTGTGTGTGTGTGTCCTGACTAAGTTACTAGTGTGTGTGTGTGCTGACTAAGTTACTAGTGTGTGTGTGCTGACTAAGTTGCTTGTGTGTGTGTGTGCTGACTAAGTTACGAGTGTGTGTGTGTGCTTGCTAAGTTACTAGTGTGTGTGTGTGCTGACTAAGTTACTAGTGTGTGTGTGTGCTGACTAAGTTACTAGTGTGTGTATGTGTGCTGACTAACTTACTAGTGTGTGTGTGCTGACTAAGTTACTAGTGTTTGTGTGTGTGCTGACTAAGTTACTAGTGTGTGTGTGCTGACTAAGTTACTAGTGTGTGTGTGTGCTGACTAAGTTACTAGTGTGTGTGTGTGTGTACTGACTAAGTTACTAATGTGTGTGTGCTGACTAAGTTACTAGTGTGTGTGTGTGTGTGCTGACTAAGTTACTAATGTGTGTGTGCTGACTAAGTTACTCGTGTGTGTGTGTGTGCTGACTAAGTTACTAGTGTGTGTGTGTGTTGTGTGTGTGGTGTGTGTGTGTGTGTGCTGATCTCCAGACTCTTGCTGTTGCAACTTATTGATAGAGGCATTAGGTACCTAGGAGGAGGAGGAGGAGGAGGAGGAGGAGGAGGTGGTGGTGGAAGAGGAAGAGGAGGGGAAATAGAAGGAAGAAGAGAAGGACAAAGAGGAGGAGTCGAAAACATTGAGAAAACAGTGACAGAAGGAAGAGGAAGAAATAAAGAGGAACTGCTGACTTTAACAAGAAGTAAACAGGAGAGTTTGGCTGGGCGCCATGTTGATCCCTTCTCCTCCTCCACCTGTCTTCTCCTCCTCCACCTGTCTCCTCCTCCTCCTCCACCTGTCTCCTCCTCCTCCACCTGTCTCCTCCAGTACCCTCATATTCACTCCAGAGTCCAACTCACCTTCACTCTAATTTCCTTTGTCTTACCGTTTATTCATCCTTTCCATTTCTATCTCTTCCATTATTACCTCCTCCAACACTGCCTCCTCCATCAGTACCTCCTCCATCACTGCCTCCTTCAGTGCTCCCGCCACCACTTACAACACTTCCCGCCATGTACAAACTGTTCTAGACCAATCATATACCGTCCCGCCATCTGTAAACTGTTTTAGACCAATCATCACCCTTCCCACCACCCACTCTCTATCTTCAACCAATCACAACACTTCCAACAGCCTACAACCAACACTTCCTCCTGTAAACTTCAAGTTCATCCACAATCAATTTTGAACAACCAAGTTTTTTAGGTCATAGGACCAGTTTTGCCCTGTAGAATTTGTTCTCGTTACCGTACACACGTGTTGAAAATTTGAAGCCTATTAGTTGAAGCGTTCTCGAGTTGTAAATAATAATAATAATAATAATAATAATAATAATAATAATAATAATAATAATAATAATAATAATAATAATAATAATAATAATAATAATAATAATAATAAAAGTAATAATTATCATCATCATAATAATAATAATCATAATATCAATAAAAATAATTATAAGTGTGGATCCACAACAAATATTCCTTCAGCAGGCAGTACTGAAAGAGCATTTTGTTTTGAGTGAGCCTCTCTCTCTCTCTCTCTCTCTCTCTCTCTCTCTCTCTCTCTCTCTCTCTCTCTCTCTCTCTCTCTCTCTCTCTCTCTCTCTCTCTTCTCTCTCTCTCTCTCTCTCTCTCTCTCACCCACGGGAGAAAACATCAGAGTGAAGCTCAGATCTCTGGGAAAGCATTCAGGACTCTCCATGGAGGTTCGATATACTATCTTGTGAGGTTCGATACTCATTCTACAACTGCCATTTCGCCTACTTGTATTTCTCCATTTGATAATTCTGCTGTGCCTTGATACGGGTGATGGGCTCTTGATTCAAGGAACTGGATAACACTTGATTATTTTCTCTCTCTCTCTCTCTCTCTCTCTCTGTATATATATATATATATATATATTATATATATAATATATATATTATATATTTATATATATATTATATATATATATATATATATATATTATATATTTAATATATATATATATATATATATATATATATATATTATATATATATATATATATATATATATCAAAATATTTGTAAAGTTAATCAAACAATTGCAGTACCAACAAAATACAATATATTGTATACCTCACAAATACAAGCTGTTAGATTCACCACGACCAAAAACAGACAACTGAATTTATCATTTATTGAATACACGATATACTGTATAAATATAATATTTAAAATACATTAAGTATTGTATTAATAATTTGAAATGCATTAAATGTTATATTTATACGATATAAAATACATCATTGTTAAATATAATTAAATATAATATTTAATATAATTATAATTAACATTACATTATTTACATTTAATATTACATTAATTAAAATTAATGTATTATTAATATAATTAATTTTAGCATTTTTTATGCTATCAAAACTGTATTATGGTACTCAAAGTATTATTTTTCTCAGTAACAGACGAAACTATTATACTTCTCAACAATAGAAGAGTCGATCTTATTAGCTAATGTTCAATAGATTTCTAATTCTTCCTAAAACAGAGACAAACAACTACTATATATTTAACAACAGACAAGCTATAACGCTTTTATTTAGGAATATAAACTTTTATTCATTGCATTAACAGATCCATGTCTTAATTTTGAACAAGTATTACTTTTAAGCAGCTGCCGTATTAATGTAGTTTCCTCAAACTAATACTTTTTCATATTTCAAGGTTCGATTTAAAAATTTATATTGTAACCATTAATTTCAGAATATTTACTTTTTACTTACTTTGTATATTCGTTGAAATGGGTATATCACTCAGAGTATATATACCTTGATATATATATATATATATATATATATATATATATATATATATATATATATATATATATATATATATATATATATATATATATATATATATATATATATATATATATATATATATATAGTTAGCCTTGTGTAGTAGATAGACTTTGAACCAATTAAATAAATCAAGTAACTGTTAATACAAAGACCACAACGCCATTTTCCAACTAAGACACAATTCATAATACTAGTTTTCAACGCTAACAAACACACATCATAACATTGTTTTCCTGTGATAGTCACAGATCACAATATTAATTTTTTAACGTTAGATACATATCATAAAATTACTTGCCAACAACAGTCACAAGTTACAACACTACTTGCCAACAACAGTCACAAATTACAACACTACTTGCCAACAACAGTCACAAATTACAGCACTACTTGCCAACAATAGTCACAAATTATAACACTACTTGCCAACAACAGTCACAAATTACAACACTACTTGCCAACAACAGTCACAAATCACAGCACTACTTTCCAACAAAAGTCACAAATCACAGCACTACTTTCCAACAACAGCCACAAACTACTGCAATACTCATCAGCACTAGACACAAATCCATCACTATTTCACAGTAAACAAATCATCGACCTATCATAGCAAGTGGGACCATTATCTTTGCTAACACTTAGGTTATGTCTACTCTTCATAAATTGCGGACTTTCATGCATTCCTGTAACTCACTGGGACTTGTGAAGCTGTGTTGAACATAGCCTGGGAGTGGGAGGGTCGTAACTCCTGGTATACGTAACATTACTACACCTACACGTACATATATCTTTACTATACTGGGACAGCATCCAAAGAATCCATTAGGGGGACAGCTATAAAAAAATACTGCGGGGGAAGAATTGTGACTGGCTATTGTCAGTAACGACACAAATCGGCGGGTATCGTAAAGTACAGCGTGTTCATTTCTCTGATAGAACGGAGGATAGAACCTTCATCATATCTCTTACGGGGAATGGCCCCATAAGTTTTTACCGCTTCACATGTGCTTGGGAGTCTCTTATGGTTACTTAGATACTGGTATAAAAAAGGGGCTTATCAACAAATTTCTTCACACTGGGTCATGTCTAGCTATAAGCAGACAGAGGGTCGAGCCTTCACCATCCGTTGCAATTCACATACAAACTGACGGCACTGATCACGGTCGATTTGCTAAGTTTATGTCTCATTATAAAATACTAAAACTGTCAAGTTAAAATAACTTTCTAGAAAAAAATTAAAGATATTTTTCTTATGTGTTTTTGTTTATAAGTTATTATTGCAAGCAGTGAATCACTTTTGAGGAAGAATCTCTCTGAAGACCCCAATGGAAACTCATTACGATTATGTAAGAGGTTCAGAGGTTGGCAGGATATGTTGAGGTTCAGAAGTTGGCAGGTTATGTTGAGGTTCAGTGGTTGGCAGTTTAGGTAGAGGTTCAGAAGTTGGCAAGTTTCGTAGAAGCTCTTGTACTTTCAGGAGAAATGTACAAGAGCGTTGAACCTTCGGCAGCTCGCGAGGAACACTTCCAGTAACGTGTGCGGCTGACGAGTCATGGTCACTTTTAGACTTCGAAATGGATGTGTCCTCCTGTTGTCCGGTGCTTAGATGAGTCTCTGAGTTCGTCAAACTCTCCTGAGTCCTATCATAGCCCTGCGCTCTGGGGTCACCTTTTAATGCATTCATGCTGGTTCTAATATTATTTTTGTTATGTAAGGGATTCTGTCTCTCGCTGGCTGTAAGATTCTTAGAGACGAAAGCAGAAAATTCGCTGGTGTTGATTTTATTACTGCTGAGGAACTCTTTACTGGGGAAATTGGAGGCTAGAGAGGGTGTTCTTAGATTGATAAGGCATATCTGACTGGTCCTCTTCTTTTCAAGAGGAAATCACATCTGTGAATTATGGGAGCTGAAAAGTCTCTTACCTCACTAACAGGGAATTTTTCTTTCTCTGTCTCGACGTGTTTTGCATGTGGCGTCCCTAGAGGAGAGCATCCCGGATTACTGCTACGGGGTCTACGTTCTGCAAGTTCCATGGAGACGTTACAGCTTTCCAGGTCTAATACAACAGATTCTCTCCTGAGTTTCCGAGCTCTTTTCAATTCGTTAATTTGTCTGTTCTTCTCTCGGGTGTCTCAGTAGGAGATGACGCAAAGATTTCAATATCGTGTTGCGACACAGCTCCCGTTTGTACGTCTCCGAAAGTGAGCGCCCCGTCTCCCGCGTCCTGACAAGATGATGGAGGCGGAACGAGATCCAGATCATTGGCTCTGAAGCTGTCAGGCACTGGACTGATAGACACAGCAAGGTTACGGTCATATTTCTCGAGAGCCTCGCTGCCAGAACTATCAGAGAATTCTTCATCGTCCTCATACTGGGCCAAGCATTGACTTGTAGACGTGCTGATACCTGACATAGTGCTGGTCCTTGACATGGTACTGTTCTCTGACAGGGTGCTGCTCCTTGACAGGGTGCAGACCCTCGAAGAGTGTTGGTCTTCGATATCGTGTTGGTTAATGACAGGGAGTTATTTTTCGAAAGAGTGTTGTTCCCTGAGATATTTTTGCTCCTTGACAGAGAGCTGGTTCTTGAGGAGCCATCCTCTTTCCCAGAATACCCCAGAGGACCCTTTGTCATAGTCTCTGAGCTCATCTCAGCGCCAAGGAGAGAGTGTCTTGGTAATACTTCTGCAGAAGTCTTATTGGCAACACTAGTCTGACTCTGGTTTACATCAACCACCTGATAAGGGTGAGGCCTTGAAAAGAAATTTCTCTCCGTTAACAACAGATCCGCAAGCACTCAGAGATCGATTATTACTGTACTTCTTTACGCAGACTGGTAAGTTGTCAAGACTGAAATACTGAGATTCTAGATCTTTAGGAGAATTTCCACGAAGACCAATGCTGAGTGTATTGTGTGTTAGGTTCTTGAAAAGGTTCCTATTAGAATTAAGTGATTTCCTCGGGTTTTCATTGACAGACTTTAAAAGTTCGTTGCTGTTTGGCTTTGAATTATCCATTTTGCAGTAATTTACGTGAGAGTGCTGAGGTGAGGGCATAGATGCTGCTTCAGTGGTTGCCGTGTTCTTGCACTCATTACCATGACTTGATGATGTTGTTGGTGCTAGCCTTTCATTTTCCTTACACGACACATTTACTTTATCCTCCATCACGCCGTAGTTGCAAATCAAAGTTTCACTTTCATTTTCCTTATTGAAGGTGAGGCCATCCATCTTTCCTCTACTACTTGCCGAGGGACCTTTGTCAACCCTGGACAACAAAGCCCCGACGTCTCTACATTTCTCCACGTATCGTACAGAGTGGTCTAGTACCCTCAGCCGTGGCGGACAGCTCCCTCTGGCTAGACATATTAATCTAAGCTCAAATCCATGATAGCTACCTCTGGCTTGCTCCTTGTTCTTCTCTCCCAGAGGCGCCGTAACCTGCTTCCTGATGAATCCTATGTTATTTTCCAGAGATAAACCCAATGTCGACTGTGTTCCTCGATGCTTAGCAAGATATGCACAAGACATATCAGTTGACATATCAGGGAGTTCATCCTTTGACTTGAGGTATTTACAAAATGGGGCTGGTTGACTGCTTTTTCTGGGTGAACTGTTGAGAGTTGAGTTTTCAGCATCTTCCCTTTGAGTGAGGGTCACGGGTGACGAGGTCAGGTTGTGGAGGCTTCGACGAGACTCGCTGTCATGTGTCTTCTGCAGTGCTTCGTCAGTATTCGATCTGTGCTGACTTGATGATCCTCCGTCAGTGCGGAAGCTATGCTGACTTGATGATCCTGTGAACCAGTCACCTGGTACACCCGCTGACCACACAACACTCTTCACATTTCGAACTTCTTCATCCTCATTCTCACGAGAAACGAATTTTCCAGCTCCGACTTCGGCTTTTAACTCAGATGTTTCGAGCTCCTTAGTATGGCCGGATATTCTTTTCAAATCGAGAGTTACCTGCCGAAGGAATGCACCCTGTCTGATGTGACTAGCTAAGAATCTGTTGTCGCTACTGCTTTCTTCTGTGGTATTCTTCCTGGGGAATTGAGTGCTGGTCCAACTGATATTTGGATGCACTTTCTCGTACCTATAAAGGAGATTCTTCTTGTTTTCACTACTAAGTGATAGCTTTTTAGTACCCACTGACGACCTTCCATCACTAGGATTCATAGGAAATTTAGAAATGGTTTTATCATGCGCTTGGTATACAAGCGAAGCGGTGGGAATATATGTCTGAGTATCTTGGGTATCGGCTGGAGTAGTGTGGGTGTTAGCCTTGTCTGAGACATCACTTCTCTCTTGAGGTATCCACACACTGGTTGTGTTATCGTAGAGAAGTGACTGTGTTTGCTAGTGAGACCTAATGGTGGGGCCGAGTCAGGTTTACTCCTGCTAGGAGATTCACAAGTTGCATTAAGATTGACAGCTGAATTACTCCTGTGGCTGTTGATATAGCCACATGTTACATTAGAAGGTGTAACTAAGTTATTCCTGTTGCTGTTAATAGATCCACATGTTACATTTATAGGGGCAGTTGTATTGCTATTCTTACTATTGATATAAGAACAAGGTGTGTTTGTTGTGGTTGTAGATGATCTCTCATTATTAGTACTATCGTAATGAGGTGAAATATTTCTCAAAAACTGATGTTCTCTGCTAGTTTCGTCGTTTGTAACCTTGGGTTCTTCAGCCTTGATAGTATTTGTAGTCTGTTTGGTGTTTTCAGTCTTGTAACGTCTCCAATGTTGGTGTTCCCATTGTTGTTGGTGAGGATCTGGCACGTAAAATTGTTGAAGTTGGACCTCTGGTCTGGTGTCGTTGTCTTGCTGAGAAAATGGCACTTGTGGCCTGTTGAGGTGATGGCACCTGTGTCCCTGTTAGTGTTGGCGAGGAACCTGACCTCTGGGCTGGTGTTGGTGGAATTGTTGGTAGAGATGTTGGAGCCAGTGATGCCCCTTGTGGTGGCAACGAACTTGCACGTGGGGGTGGAGGAAGTGGAGGCTGATGAGTTGGAGTTAGTGTTGGAGAGGAACTTACACGTGGGACCGGCAGTGTTGGAGTTAGTGTCCTCCCTCTGTGTGTTGGAGAGGAACTTACACGTGGGACCGGCAGTGTTGGAGTTAGTGGGACCAGCGGTGTTGGAGTTACTGTCCTCCCTCTTTGAGTTGGAGAGGAACTTACAAGTGGGGATGGTGGTGGTGGAGTTACTGTCCTCCCTCTTTGTTTTGGAGAGGAACTTACAAGTGGGGATGGTGGTGGTGGAGTTACTGTCCTCCCTCATTGTTTTGGAGAGGAACTTACAAGTGGGGTTGGTGGTGGTGGAGTTACTGTCCTCCCTCTTAGTGTTGGAGAGAAACTTACAAGTGGGGTTCATGGCAGTATTGGAGTTATTGTCCTCACTCTTTGTGTTGGAGAGGAACTTACACGTGGGGCTGGTGATTTTGGAGTTAGTGTCCTCTCTGTGTGTGTTTAAGAGGAACTGGCACTTGTGGCTGAGTGAGTTGCTGGTACCTGTGTCCCTGTTAGTGTTGGCGAGGAACCTGACCTCTGGGCTGGTGTTGGTGGAATTGTTGGTAGAGATGTTGGAGCCAGTGATGCCCCTTGGGGTGGCGACGAACTTGCACGTGGGACGTGAGGAATGGTGGAATGAGTGAATGGAGTTAGTGTTGGAGAGGAACTTACACGTGGGACCGGCAGTGTTGGAGTTAGTGTCCTCCCTCTGTGTGTTGGAGAGGAACTTACACGTGGGACCGGCAATGTTGGAATTAGTGGGACCAGCGGTGTTGGAGTTACTGTCCTCCCTCTTTGTGTTGGAAAGGAACTTACACGTGGGGCTGGTGGTGTTGGAGTTAATGTCCTCTCTCTTTGTGTTGGAGAGGAACTTACACGTGGGGTTGGTGGTGTTGGAGTTAATGTCCTCCCTCTTTGTGTTGGAGAGGAACTTACAAGTGGGGTTCATGGCAGTATTGGAGTTATTGTCCTCACTCTTTGTGTTGGAGAGGAACTTACACGTGGGGCTGGTGGTGTTGGAGTTAATGTCCTCCCTCTTTGTTTTGGAGAGGAACTTACAAGTGGGGTTGGTGGTGGTGGAGTTACTGTCCTCCCTCTTTGTGTTGGAGAGGAACGTTGACAAGTGTGCCGTCATGGGGGCAGTATTGGGGGAAGTTTATTGTCCTCACTCTTGTGTTGGAGAGGAACTTACACTTGGGGCTGGTGGTGTTGGAGTTAGTGTCCTCTCTGTGTGTGTTTAAGAGAAACTGGCACTTGTGGCTGAGTGAGTTGCTGGTAGCTGTGTCTTGTGTCTTGAAGAGAGGAATGTTAGTGGCAGTAAAACGTATCTTCGCGTCACCTTGTTGGTGTGTTACACAGCCAGGAGAAGTGCTGCCAATCTTGTCTTCACCAGACGACTCATTCACTGAGTCAGAGAACCGTCCAGCAGCTTCCTTTCTCTTCCCTGTTTGTGCATATCGCTCTGAGGGAGTAGAAATCACTTGCTGATTCTCTGTCTGGTCCTCGTCCCTACGTAAAGGTGATTCAGTATTTGAGTTCAATTTTTTCTGTCTTGATTCTATTTGTAACAAGGGATTTGTATAGTCTTGATGGCTTTTGGGTTTTTCTTTTTCCAAAACTGGCTTACCTGGTGATGCTACAACCTTCGTAGAGTCAGCAGAGAAGTCACTCTTGCCTTGTTGCTCATCAATGGTTGCCACAGACAACACAAATTGTTTCTCATCCTTAAATTTTAATCCTGATGCAGAAGCTGGGATCGCAGCGGATATTCCGTTTACCATTTTGATGGAGTCTGGATTCGTATTTGTCGAGGACTCCAGACTGGTGCAGCGTCTCTCCACACGTTTGTCAGGGGCTGGTGAGAAGGGAACCACAACCTCTCTAGCCATCTTGAGGTACAGACACACGGGTCTCGTGAAGCGAGCACTGGAAACTCCTCTGTCTCCAGAATTCCTTGAAGATGCTGGCCGAGAAGGCTCTTGGATGCTCTTATTCTTCTCGAGGGTCTCAAATATAGCTTTACTTCTGTCGAGTACGTCGCAAACAGACTTGCTGCTCCTTCCACTCACAGAGCTCGCACAGGTCTTCCTCCTTTCTGTCTCCCGTTCCCATGAGCAGGATGATTTGTGTGGGATGTTTTCCTTGAGGTACTCACACATGAGGACGCCATTAAGAGGCCCTCCAGTTGTCTTACTGATTTATCAATGTCTTCTTGAGCAGATCTTGAAGGGTTTGTCTCTATCGGTCTGAGGAACTCGCAGTAATCGACTGAAGACGCCATAAGTCTATCGTTACTTCTTCCCTCGGACGTAATGCTGCATCTTAAGGTCACTGTGCGTCACGCATCTTCCTCTTGGCTGCGTCTTGCGTCTTCAAGATCACTGCACATCATCTCTTCTCTTCCTCGCTGCGTCTTGTGTCTTTAAAATTACTGCATATCACCATCTTCCTCCTCGCTGCGTCTTGCGTCTTCAAGATCACTAGTGCATCCATCTTCCCTCCTCGCTGAGTCTTCAAGATCACTGCACGTCATCCGTCTTCCTTCTCGCTGCGTCTTCATCAACAATGCACGTCATGCATCTTCTGCCGTCAAAAA